TAAGCTCTCCAATATTTGTCAACCGTGGCATTGTAGCACACACATGTCCACTAATTCGATTTTCGCAAGTGTATTCTTCTGTGCGTCGGGATACATAGATATTCCAATAGGCACATGCGAACCCCTATCGGTTTTCTTTCAAGCATTCATTTGGTTCACTCCCATATTCCGATACTTCTAGTCGGGGTAATTTGCTTTAATCGTAAATTGACCAATTTTAATATTTTGCGTTTTTATATTGATTTCATATAATCGTTCTAGGGATAAGGTTTAAAATTAAATAATCCGAGCTAACGTTGAATGTGCGATATCAATATTAAATACAGGGAAAAACTGTCAATTTTATATCACATAATTTTACATTTTATATTATTATATTTTTACTCAAAACATATTTATTTATCTCCAATATCTTTTTCTATGTTAATAAAATTATTCCGTAGTGTCAATCAGATTGTTTCGAGTATCGCGTGACAGTGTCGCGAGTGCGTTAATCCGTAAGTCAACCATATGAATGACTTGACGCTAAAACGTAGGATAAAATCTACAAAAAAAATATATATATATATATTCAGGCAATTTACTCATCATTACTCACTATGCAATTCTTTCTTTTCCACGGTCACCGTCGTCTTTCCAATGAGAGCTTTAATGCGCATAGTTTACTCGTTAGAAAGTAACTTTTTGCATGTTTACGCGGATACAGAAAGGCTGTCTGGATTGCGTTTAACGATTCTCTCTGTTGTGTATATATATAGTAAAAGTTGCTTGACAAGCGGCATAATTACCTGCATACTGTTGCAAGCTGGAGTAGGCATTGCTCAGGGAGTCCTGAAGTCCATTTAACGGTGTTCCCGTCAAGGAATTGAGCGTTAGAGATGTTACAGGACTAAGACTGCCTCCGGTAGACCCTTCAAGATGAATATTATAGTTATCCTTTTTACCGATTTCCGAATTTCATATGAATGATACCCAAGCCTAATTACTTCTGAGGCATGCCTCACGTGCTGTGACGTTGCAAAAACGTCAATCGCCATTGCTCCAAGTTTGTTATTGTAATTAGAGACAGAAAGCAATGAACTTGTGCAATATAGCATACTAATTGGCATACTAATTCAAATGTTGCTTTTTTTGTATTTATATATATACAAAATAATCTACTATAATTTTATTATATAATCTACTATAATTTATTATATAATCTATTTATTATAATAAATTTATTTATATAAGAAATATAAAAAAATAAGATTTTATTTTTACTTGAAATATATACTAAAAGATAGATAAATATAAATAACAAAAATGTAAAATGTGCATAATCAAATAAAGTTACAAATTACGTTTCAGTATAGCACGTGTGAAATATTTCACACTTGACAGGAATTTAATTAGTATTTTAACAATTTACATTTTAGAATATAAAAGTAATGTTATATTTTCTCAATATTGAGATAAAAACAGGCTATATAGAATACATTAATGATAATGATTCAAAAATAATTTAAAAGTATAATAGATGTTCATGCACGATCATTTACATGATAAAAAAAATCACGCGCCAATAGCCGGGTTAATTGCGATAAGCGTTTTACGAAAAAAATTTTATTTTTTTTTCTTTTCACTATGCACAGGTATTGTTGCCAATTAAACTTTTATTATGAAAAATCGTGTATCCGTTAATTGCGGTAAGCGTTTGTACAAAACTCGTATATTCCCAATACACTTCAAATATACACACACAGTAATTTAAATCATATACATATTGTTAAAATTATAATTAACGATTGATAGAGAATAAAAATGTGTACGTGTTCCTAAAAGCCCCGACGAGTGCCAATTAATACATTAATACAATATCTGCAAAAGTTTTTACAACAATTCGCAGTACCAATCAGTTACTAATTGGCTTGTAGATAAAATATATAAATGTGTGTGAACACGCCCTCGCACACGCCGACACACGCATATACACACACAAGGTGTCATAGAGAATTATTATCATGATCTTTTAGCTTATAAAATGCAGTAACCAACTTGAAATTTAGCTCAATTTTTTTTCGAGTAATTTGATCGAACGCTATTTTCTTTTATTGTTTTTAACGCTTTTAATATGCTAGCTCAAACATCTCTATTACTTATGAATTAAAATTTTGTTCAAAGTACAATTCATTTAAACTTGTTTAAGAAATAAAACTTCACTATTATTTTTTTAACTGCATTTTATCTATATATAAATCCGTAAATTTTCAGTTATTCCAAAACTATTTTAATAATTATTTTAACGTTAAATCAAATAAATGCGCATGAGCGCATGACCCTATTTTTTAAATAATTTGATTTTTATATTTGATATAGCGTTATAGTATAAACAAAACTCAAAATACAGTGTTGATTGAAGCAAGACCCATACGATTAATAAAGTTTTTACAGCCAACATTATTAATTTTGCGGCATCACAATATACAAAAGATAATAGTAAGAAGTATAAAATACTAAATGTAACACAAAGAAAAAATAACAAAAAAGAAGATTTGAAAAGAAAATATATAAGGTTGATATATATATATATATATGTATATATAGAATAAAGAATGCGAATCAGTCAAACAACTTTTCTTGCTATAGGTATCTCACCTGTATTTCCTGTTTTCCCAGAAGGGCAGCTACGTACGAAAAAAAATGCGTAATGTTAAAATTGCAATATATAAATATTTATAATAAAAAAAAAAACAAAAAACAAATAAAAACGTAAAATATACGATTCTAATGTTATTCGATGTAATGTAAAGTAATAGAATTTCTGTCAGCAATTTAATATCGTACTATATAAATTTGTATATATATATATATAAATAAACACATACAAATTTACATAATCAACGCAAATGATTAAATAGCCATAAATATAATTGCGGAAGAATGTTATGCAATATATGCTCTTATATAAATTTCTATATATGCAATATATAATTATTATTGTATATTACAATTTTAATTTTTTAATAAATATATATATCAATTTTACTCAGTAGATTTATGAAATTTATGTAATTATTGTGTCTAAACAATATTCTATATTGTCATTATACAAGAACAATTTAATAAATATTTGAACATTTCAATGATCAACTTAAAAAACTATTATTCTACACGTGTGATAGATAAAAATTGATAATCATGTTATAAACATGTAGATAGATTCGCTTATTCATATCTAAAATGTTTGTAAATTTACAATAATTCTTTATTGTAATTAGCAACTATCTATGCAAACTATCAATTGCAATTTCATCGAAATGGTTTTCGAAACATCTCTTCTTACTTAGAACTTCGAATAATCCTTTAATAATTATATAAAATTATAGAGGCTTATGACTATCATGATAATTAATACGTAGATAGAAAACAAAATACGAGAAAATTGATGGGATGAAGGAGGGAGGGGAAAAGTGTAAGCACGTGCGCACACGCACATGTGCACGTACACCATTAAATAAGCGAAATGAGGAAATCAGACCATCAACAGAATTAGGACCCTTTTGCATGATCAAAATTAATTTAGTAATTGTTAATACTGTACCAGGCAATGCGACACGTACATAGCGACATACCTGCTGTCGAATTCGCCAGGCCGCTTAATGCTGAAACACAAAACACGTTCGCGATATTAGCAAGCAGAGTCAATAATATTTATAGAATGCAATCACATGAAACATGGCTTTAACAGAATTTTCCCGACGATGCCGACGATATTTTGTTTTTAATGCCGCGACTAAACAATTTGCAAAGCCAACGGCTTTGCTCGTGTCAAATTAATATGATGAGTCAAGTTTGCGAGGCGAGCTGGAAATATCTGAAAAAATATTTGCCTTTTCCTATCACGTTATAACATTATACATAAGCATATTATTTAAATTCACATTCTACAAAAACAATGTTAAATATACAAGATGGCTCAAATAAAGCATTACAATTAAATAATTGGAATGGATCTCTGTATGTAATTGTCTCAATAAACTGTAATAAAAGCGACATAAATTAAAAACACAAAATTCTTAAATAATTTATCAATATTATCAATACTCATTTTGTCTCTTTTTAGTTATATCTGTTATAATTCAACACTAAAACTTACAATATCTTTAAATAACTGATTTGTTTTATTGAATTTAAATATCATAAATAATTTCGTATTTTTTATTTTTATACAATTAATATAAAATAAATTTTTTAAATAAATAGAATTACAATTATAATCACAATTAAATAATATATTAAATATATAAACGAATATATTTCAGGCAGGATAGTTGAAATATTCTAATACTTCAAAATTCATGATATTGAAATAATTATGATCATATTAAAATAATTTTGGGAAACTTCTGATAATAATTTTGTCGAACTGTCATATTAAAATATGAGTGAAATTGATTTTAAAACATGATATCTAGTTAATTAATAATCAGAAAACTTTTTAAAATCTAACGTAAAACGTCGAAATTGACTCTGGATGTTTATTCACAGAACATTCTTCTCTCCGCTTGACATACAGCATGCATGTTTATTTGCGTGATATATTCAACTACATCTTACCCTCGTCATAACGATTGTATTATCACAATTAAAGATTAAAATTAATACAATTTGCAAAAGGCAAATGTATAGACGCGCCGTTGAATTATCACCGCCGTTGCAATCGCGGTGATAATTCAAGCGACTTTGGCCGCTTCATCATACACACCTATAAAGCGTAGACAGTTTACCCGTTCGTCTGGAACTTTAACAACGCATGCAGCAATCATTAAACTCAAGCGGACTACCGCTCAAGCGGTACGGATTTACCGTCTACCGCGAGTAACATACGTGATGCATAAGCACACAAGTGTTTTGTACGATTGGTAGAAGGACAATATGGACAAACCGTACTCCGAAGTTACGCATGTAATTTGAAGCACCAGACAGGTTCCGCGCGGAACCTACAGCTGTACATTAATGTACCATAATGTGTGTTCTCTGATTATGCGTCTCGTAAAATATTCTCTACTCACTGTTTGGCGACACCTGGAGATTGCCGTTCCCGCCGGTCATAGCTGCCAGGGTGACGAGGTTCTGCATACTCATTGGCGACACACCCGCGTTCGCTGCAACATAACAACACGCATCAGAATTTATTTCAGAAAGTCTCAATGCTCTATATGCATCGCGATGATCTCCGAATAATATAGCGTATGTCACTTAAATAGAACTTAAATAAAATAAAAAAACTTTACCCAATCTCAAGAATAATTTAACAATAGTCTAAAAAGCAATTTTTCTTCTTAATATTTTTGAAAATATTTAAAATATTAATATTCCAAAAATATTATATTAAATTTAAACGTTTCATTTAACTCAAGCTTTAAGTTTCACCGCGTATAGAAAGTAGACATCACTGAATTTTATCTAATCTAGAATAATTTAACAATGCTCTAGATTTATATACCACGATGATTTCTATAGAATAATATAGCATATGCTTGGCAAAAATAGAATTTAAATTAAATTTTATCTAATATAAGATAATTTAACAATGTTGTCTAAAAAACAGTTTTTCTTTCATAACATAATAATATTTTTGGCAATATTAAAAACATTAAAAAATATTATTAAATTTAAACTCAAGCTTAAAGCTTCACTGCATATAGAAAGCAGACTATGCGTGTATTTAGTTCGTGTAGATATGAATTCATTGCGTGACATCAATTCATTGCAATGTCATCAAAATGACCATACGTTCCGCAGCAATAAATGATAAACATATATGCCGCAGTAAAGTTAATGATGGACTTATATAGGAGGTATATTATTATTCTCGCATCCTCTCTCGATTCTATTAAAGAGAATAGAATTTTATTATAGCCGGGTAAGCTACCGGGTAAGAACATTTCATTGTAACTTTCAAAAAGATAAATGGAATAAAAAGACCCGTGGGACACGATCATACGCGGCGAAGTTGGAAAATATAAGTGCAAAATAATATAATTTATTCTGATATCGATATGACTGTGCAGACGAGTAATTTTAACGCAGAAATGAAATAAAATTTCATTTTGCTAGACACAGGATATTGATCATATTGCTGCAATTCTCTAAATCGAAATAATGATGTGCAGTTGACATATTTTTTAGCGGAAGCGGATTATTTACAGAGAAAAATTACATATTTAAATTCACGCGTCGCGTTAGATTTACATTTTTAACTTGTTCACGAAAATAGAACTTCTATAAGTACTAATGTACTGCTATAAAGTGGGGTCAAAAGGTGACGCGACAAAGTTAAACTTACACATTTGAAAGAGATAAGTTTAAAGGTTGCATACGTCAGTTACCCTAATACTAGAAATATAAAAGAAATAACGTCATTTTTGTATGATATAAATACGAAAAGGACTGGATATATTATTTTAAGCGTATTATATGCTATAAAAAACTGTTTTATTAATCATAAAAATAATGGGTATAAAATACATGAATAAAAAATATTAACAACAAAAATATATTATCGGCCTTCTTAAACATCAAAGTATAACAATATAACTTTTCTTGCAATTTAAAAATAAAATTAGAAAAATAGACAACCATATTAATTCGTATATAAATCTGTTCAAGATATATGGTGGATAGATAAATATATCAAGATATATATAATTTCAATATGTATTCGTGTATTTTGTACGCACACTTACTAATACTGTCTTCATATAAAATTCAATAAAAATTTTCTGACAACCATCGAATAATGTCGATGTCTCTGGGCAATATACATCTTAAACTTTCTTTTAAAAGATTAGATGCCTGTTAATTTTACTCAAATAGAAAAGCGGAAACCGAATAAACGCAAATGAAAATGAAGATGAATAAAATGCAAATTAATAAATGAAATAAAAATAAAAAAATAACAATCGACACTAACCATACTCACCAGCAGTGGTGCTTAGAGACGCGAGGGTGGCTAGACTTTGCAGATTCGCGGGGTTGATCTCTGCCGGACTGGGCACAGCGGGGGGTGCTGCATGCGCAGGTGTTGCTGCTCCAAGGCCAAGGTGTTGCTGTAGCAACAACTGATGTTGCACATTCGACAGCGCATTCGCCGCTCCCGCATTCGCAGCGACCGGAGTTGCGGCACTCGTTGTCGCCTGCAACTGTTGCAAAAGCTGCAACGATGCAGGCGCCAAGGTATGCGTGTCATTCTATAAGTACAAATATGACTTTATCAATCAGGATCCCTGTGATATATATATATATATATATATATATATATATATATATATACTGTAAATCCTGTGATATACATTTTGAATAATACATTCGAGTCACAATAGATTAGATTACGAGATACATTAGATTAGATATCTCAAGAACACCTCTTCATTCTGTCAAATATTTATTAATTTAAACAATTACAACAAAAACTTTTTTGCTTTTAAATATCTTTGTATTTAAATGTTTTTGCCTCTAAATACTTTTTCTTTGTATCTAAATATCTTTTTAGATTTAATCAAATCTTTTCATCAAATCTCTTTTAAGAAAAGATCAACTTTACCTTTTAATATAAATTGTATGAAATCTTCAACAGAAACAAATACATTGGTACATTGGTGCTGTATGTGTTCAAACAACATGGGTCATATTTTTTTAAATGTATGAATTATTTTTGGTTAATATATTTTGTACAACAAAATTGAAGTTGCTATGTAGAAAGTCACAAAGGGTAGATAATGCATACAAATGTAAGGTGCTCAAACGATACAGCCATGAAGAGATCTCGTTCTCGATGCAAATGGATATCTTTGATATCGGCCAAAGAGCTTTTATTATAAAATATTAAGTACACGTACAGCTAGGTAATGCGGCGCGATGTTGACTCCCGCGATGTTCCAGAGATTCGACTGGAGTTGCTGCATCCTCTTTTGATCCTTTTCCTTTTGCGTGTCGGCGAATTTTACGACTAATGGCGACGAACAGCCCTAAAAATTGTATAGTATATTAATACTGCGTAAACAATACATGAAAATATGAAGGGACGTTGATTGTCACAATTAAGATCTAATATTTCAAAGTATGTTCGTAAGAATGTGAACATATCGAAAAGATGAAAAAGTATATGCAATAATTAATCAAAATAGAATTACATAATTGAGTCATGTAATAAATCTTATATATAATGATATAATAATTGTTTTATTGAAACATTATATTTTTTTATGGCAAATACTATGATTTAATAAGAAAAGAGAAAATTCTATATTATTATTAATTCAGTTATGACAAGAGTAAATCTTGTCGTATCATAACAATAAGTTGAGCATCTCAAAATATCTCAAGATTCTAAAAATTCACTCAAATTACTAAAAATGAAAAAAAAAAAATAAAATATTTTTCTTATTTACTTTCTGATTTATAATTTATAATTTTTAATTTTTATAATTTAAATAAATTCATGTCTTGAAAATTATATTAGTATTTCGTCAGCAATACACTTGATTTAATGGCGTCTTCTTTTCTGTCAATTTAAATTCCTGAAAAAGTTACTTCTGTAATTTAATATTCTTCTCCTTGTCTTCGAACTTCTGTTACACTTCGTATCGATCGAGCGCGATCATTTTACACCTGAATTCAACGCGCATTATTGGTTCAAGTCCAAATTCAACATTGGCGTGAGAATCGGATTTGTCGGCAATCGGGCATTACATTAGTGGAAAGAGAAACTCATTCGACGGGATGCGAGACGATATATACACGTCAATCGCGAGGTCGATGCACCATGCACAATGTGCCTGCAACTGGAGATCGCGAAATCGGCATGCCGGTTGCGCCGGTATAGCGACGAATAAGCAAGTTCGAAGAACCTACAGCCGGAAATATTCGTGATATTAAAGTGGAATTGCCCTCGTGCCCACATGCCTTGGCGCAATTTCTTTACCATTCGAAATAGTATTCGCTGCATGGACAACTGTGATATAGTAGCTTGAGATATAGCTTGAAAAAATATATCCTGAATATCGTTAAATATTTATATAGATCCTACATTAATGAAATTAAATTTATTATAATTAACTAATATTGTTTTGTGATTAATATCATAAAATATTGTATTGCACATATAAAAAAAGAAAACAGATTTTAAAATTGATTAAATACTTAATTATTTGATATTAAGCGCACACACACACACACACACATCCCCCCTCCACACACACATACACAAATAAAGAATTTTATTTTTATTTTAAAGTTCAAAAGAATTTTAGGTAGCATATACAAATCTATAGTACAAAAAACTTAAAAAAGATAACATATTGTTAACATATTTATGTTGAAAATAAATTAGATATATTCTAATCTCTATTAGTAAGTAAATATTTAAGAAAATATTAGTTATTATTAAGAGATATTTTACAATACATACATATTCGAAATTTTTTGAAAAATCGCATCTCAATTCAGTATTCATTATTTCCACATCAGAAAAAAATTCTGTAAAAAAAAAAATAGAATATTCTTCTTGCCTAATATAATTTTATGGCCATAT